TCATGTTATAGAAACCTATGGCATTTTTCTGCCTACTGCATTGTTGTTGCTGCTGCTGCTGTTGTTAAATGTACCCAAAATTATTAAGTCTTGCACACAGATTTAAAACAAGACATTTTATTTAGGATTTAAAATGAGGGACAGATCTGTGTGGGATGTTTGGGCCTGCAGGATTCTATTTCAGCATTGGGGTTGGACTTTATTGCATTTGAGTCATCTTCTGGTCCTATAAAAATCAAATGAGATGGCTCATTTGTCCCCGTTCGTCTCTATCTATTAACATCAATGGAGCTGATGTATATGTAACTGCTTGCAGGACTGCAGCCCTGGTGTAGTCTGCAGACTTTTGGCAAGCAATATGTTTCACTTTCAGCAACATAAAAGCCAAATATAGCTTAAATCCACTTAAACTCTCTTACATTTTATTTGGTGTTTAGTATCAGGAAACACACTGCTATGTAAATGGTAAGCAACAACCTAGTAAGAAAATATTTGCTCACTCTCCGAATCTGCCATATGAATAAAAAATGAGTCGAGCTTGGCTGAAAATAGGGGAAACAGAACCCATAATGACTAAAAGGAAGCAAGGATCAACTCCTGTAAAAACTAGGGCCAGTTATTAATGGAATCTAAAAATGAATCTTTAAACCCAATAAAAATCAAATATCAGCATTGGGTCTGTTTTGATCCTCCGCTCCCACTTACATCATTTGTATCCTATCAGTGGCCTCAGCCTTCAGCAACAGGGTGCTATTTACAAACCAAGGGCCCAACTACTCCTTGGACGTGCGTGTATGGCTCCTGTTGGCACCAGGATCAGCTCCTCGTCCAAGGGAAGCATTTGGCTCCATAATAGTTAACAAATAGCTCTCATAATAAATACCAAATGTCTGTATCATCAAAAGCCAGGCACATTCGCAGATAATAGCATAGCCTGACATTTAAAGTTAGACTTTTTATGTAACAGAGAAACATGTGCGTGTTTCTTTGGTGGACACAAAGTTTTGCAGCAGTTGTTAAACCTGTTACTATTGATGAGGCTAAAACCAACAAATGGAAATGCTGCTGGCTAAAAGTGCTTCTAACAAAAATAAACTTGTACATGTGAGAACTAAGCTTTCTTTAAAAAAGAAATTATAACATTGTTGGGGAGGAGGGATGGATAGTGTTCTTTCCTCCTTGTTGTATAAAGGTCTGGATTATGCTGTACAGCAGGAAGAGGAAACCCAAGGGGCCACAAATGTGGCCACCAGGACTCTCCCTAGCTGCCACCATTCTCTCCCAAGCTGTAGTCCTGACTGACCCTCCTTGAGTGCTTTTCCATGGCTAGAATGCTTCTTTGAACTCTGATAAAGTTTCTTCCTTCTCTGTATGGAGGAAGAAACTAGTCTGCTATACCCAGGAAAAATGTACATTCATTGCTCTGCCCACATTAGCCTTTCGCCTCATCTTTCTGGCATGTGGCTCCCAGAAGGTCATTTACTAGGGAATTCAGCCTTCGGGCTGAAAATGGTTCCACAACCCTGCTATGTGGAAATTGCACAATCTGTCATAATTTCTGACAGAATCCCAAGGATTTCTCCAGAGGAACAGTATTCAGGGGGGCCTTCAGGGCAGGATTTTGAGGTAGAATGAGCAGGAATCCATGCACACAGAATAGGGCTGGCTTACCACATTGTGAAATAATATAATTTACCACCTGATGAGGTGGACCATTAAGCCCAGAGTCTACCTCATTGTACCAAGCAATGGCCTCTTTAAGTCACTGATCATGATGGTGGTTGACACATGGTAAACCAGAAGCAACTGATGTGGCGACCGCTCAAATGTTGTTCAACCGCAGCTCCCAGTATTCCTAGCCATTAGGTATGCTGACTGGGGCTGATGGGAGTTGGAGTACCATTGTCATGGACTGGCTAGATACAGAGGAGTGGTGAGAGGCACCAGCTGGGGATCCTGCAAGGGAAGAAGTCTCAGAGCCAGGGGATCTGTAGTGGGAAGATGAAGTGTAGTCAGAGGGAGAAGAGTGGGGAGGAGGTGTCAGAAGCTGAAGAGGTAAAGGGGTTCAGTGAGCAGGAAGAGGCTATGGCAGAGAGCAATCCAGAATCAGGGGCAGAAGCGGAGGTTGGAGAGGAGGGGGGGCAAGAGGCAGAGATCAGATAGGCTGCTTGAGAAGATAGGGAGTCAGCTCCCCACCCCCGGTCTCCCAGAACAGACAGAGGTATGAAGAGGGTGAAGCAGAGACCGACAAGGCAAAGAAGTCTCAGGTTGCTTTGGAAGGACCCAAGGGAGAAGAAGGCTTATGGAGCTGTGGGAAGTCTTCTCAACTGCCTCACTGGGGCATCCCAAGATTACAAGGTCTCTTAAAAATAGGTAGTATGTCTGGAAACAAGGATTGCTCTGTTTCTGTAGGTGATGCTTTTGAATGCTTTTTAAGTTTAATCAGCTACCCAAACTTTGCGTGAAATAAAAGCAGCTTTGTTATTCTTAACATGATGGCAAGAGCATTATTATATACTCCCTCTTTTTTGAGTGTGAGGTGTGGAAAGAGTCTAGCAAATGCACACTCTGTCCCCCCCCCTTTACCCTGGAACTTCTATGTACCCCTAAAACACAGTGTAATATTTTAATCCCTCTCACCAACAGAGAAACACTTATTCTGGGCTAAAATGATTAACAGCATGTCATAGATATCAATGACAAATGTTCATGATCTCCAACATATGTATTAGATAAAAGGGTTGGCTTAGGATTTCAGTAACAAGAACAACTGTGTGAAGGCACATAGGTATTATTCTCTCAAACAAGGTATTATTCAGGGAGAATCAGTAAAGCCAAGTATATGTGGAGTAAAAAAGAAATAATATTTGTTTTTAAGCATCACTGCACTTGCAATTTAATTAAGGACTAGAGTATAATTCTGAATGTGCAGTGTTACCATTTCATTTCTGGGGGAAAGAGCTTCTTTGATTCTGGTCAAAAAGCAAAAAAACCTTACCTCATCAATCAAGAATGCAGCATGGTCTGATAATAGCTCCACCTTGGACATTCAGTGAACATCAAAGTAGATCTTAAACTACTTTTTATGTCAAATGCTACCTGGTCTTTGAAGAAGGTTCTTTTTTAAAAAAAAAACTCCATGTGACTCTAGGCGAACGTAGCATCACCATCATATTCATAACAAAGAGAATGAAAAAACATTGAAATTAAAATGATAAATAGGGGTCAAATACTTTGTGTCTAAATCATGACACAAAAAAACTTACTATCTTCTAAAACAATGTCTAATGCCTTATGTCTTTTTCCAAAAAAGAATGAAGGAAGACCAACATTGTAATGAAGTTTCTGGACTATTTTTAAGAACCTTTTTCCAAATATAAATATACGTTAAGAATATGGTATGCCTGCATTCCAGGTTTCCCTTCATCATTCTTCCCATAGCTTATCTTAACACTTTGTGCATGGAGGCCAAGTAGCTGCCAAACTGATTTAAATTCCCTATTCATAGTTAAAGAGCCAGGGAACAGGGGGGAAACACAAGAAATACAGCTTTCTCCCTTGGGCCAATGACTTTGTTTAGGTGTAATACTAAACTATGGTTTATCATTATGTGAATGAGCCTTAGACTCACCAGCTTCCCTCTCCCCTCCTCCACTGTGACCATAGTTTAGGTATGTGCAAAATTGGTCATTGTCTACCAGACATTGGTGGCTGAACACATGGAAAGGCAGAAAGGCATCAGTAGACATAATAAACACATTTTATGAAATACTGGGAAGTCTGTGGTTGGGAAAATATCATAACAAAATACACAAATAAAAAACCAGCTTGCTACTACATTTGGTTAAAATAATGTCCAGCATCGAAATACCTTATATCTAATACAACATATTTCCTAGCTTCACTCCACAGCAGATTATTGGGTCTGTCAGATGAACTGTTTATCTTTTGGGTCACAGGTGAAATAAAAATAGAGAGATCTGCCTTCAGCCCAAATTGTTTTGCTATAGTTGCATAGTGGTACAAATATTAATTCCAGCATACCCATAAACCCATGTTCGCCACAAGCACCTTTTCAGTCTGTTTTAAAAATAATGTCTTAGACATTTCCTCCTAATTTATCAGGCTGTAAAAACATACCTAGTGCATAGGTATTAGAATCAAAACAGTAAACAGAGTCTACATCCACTTCACATAGAAGGTTTTGGTCACAAAGGTCTCTTTCTCTCTAAGTACTTTTTAAAATGTTGAGTTTTCACAAAAGTGTTTCTTCATAGAGTAGCCCCCCCTTTTCTATAGAATTAGAAAGTTGTGTGTAAATAATTTTTTAGTGAATATTTAAATTAGTTTAAAATCTCTGCAAGAAAGCAAAGTGTTTAGAGAAACAGACAGCCAAAAAGTACCTTAACATTTACCTCAAGACTCTGACATAGCTCACTTATCTCCATTGGATTCTACACATGGGATTAGTCGATTTAAAAATAATCTTGGTTCCCCATATCTCATTTTTCCATTGAAAAGATCAATTGACTTGTAAAATACAGAATTATAGACCCCCAAAGCAGGAAAAGTTACAATTTCCTATGCTTTGTTGGTCAAACTGATATGACCCCAACTTCGGGTTTCTGATTTCAAAGAAGTTGAATGCTAATTAGGTTCCATAATAAATCTAAATATTTTCTTGCAGACAAGCACAGATGAAGGAAAGTGACCGAGAAAACCCCACCAAGTTATCACTATCACCAGATTATTCTTTCCCCAAAACAAACCCACAGGAAAAATGTCTTTATCTTATCACCCACTGCAAACAGTTTGTTGTGCCGTATTGTATGTTTTCCTTCATGAAATGTGTCTGTGGAAAACTGTGGTCGTATTATTTATACAGTGAGAACATAGGAGGGTTTGAGAAAGGAAGATGTTCTGAAACTATACCAATATGCCAAGCAAATTTAAAACAACTCACTTAGCATAGCCTAATCCAGTGTTGCCACAAAAAGACCATGGAACAGAAAGGATTTAGAGCATACCTAAAAGGACTCCGACTTTGGTGAGTCTCCAGAGAAAGGAAGTTTCATATTTACAGACCCTTAACAAAAACCCTCTACGTGTCTTTGCTGCATGAATCTTGGTACAAAGATTATTAATAATGACAGTGCAAGTACATATCTTTGCTGGAATATATTAGGAAGTTATCTCAAGGTATATGGCATGCATGAAGAAATAGATTTCATACAACAGTAGATGTTCTGAGAGCGTCTTTCTCCCAAAGACATCATGCACTGTGCATGGAAAGCTAATGCAGTTATTTTGTCTAAAGAAGTTATATATGGCGAAAACAGCAAGGGCATCTTAGTGCTTTCCTACTAATACAGAATTCTTGCACGGAGAAAAGAAAGGCAAACTGAAATGCTAGGAAATTACTAGCATTACTGCTGGAATCTAAAAGTTAATAGTGGGAGTGGAAAGGGATTTATCAGTATGCATATAATGTCTAAATGTCTAAATATGCATATAATGTCTAAAATGTCTAAATGTCTAATGTCTAAATACTAAGGCTCCTGACTCTACTGCTGATCTTTCTTTTTCCTACATTAAGATTAGCAACAGTATCAGTCAGATTTTATCACCCCAGGTGCTTGCTCAATTAGCAAGACTTTCATTTTCAATAAATCAACCACTGCAAAATGGAATTTACAACAATGCAGAAAGAGCCAGCCTACTACACTGCAAATTTGTTAAAGTTTTGCCAGAGCATGAGCATCTTTTAGAAACCTAATAAAATCTTGTTTTTTAGATGGGCTTCAGAATGGCAGGGTCAACTCAGTGTGAGAGTCATGTTATAGTCATTGTTACTTTCTAGCTCATTTAAAGTGGCTCTGATAGATAATACATCTGTGATAGATTATAAACAGTAAAAGAAAAATAAATGCTCTGTGCATAAATTAATGATTATTGGGAAAATCCATTCTACTTACATACATACATATCTAACCTCAACAGTTGTATTGATGGCCTCTGTTGGCAACAAACTAGATCTCAAATTACTGATCCCATTGTTGTTAAATTTACATACCACTTAATGCTAAAACAGACTTCTAATCCCAGTGCTTCTCAAACTCCCAAGTTCCACTTGAGAGGGCTGAAAATTTCTGAGTCACAAAATGGTGGTGCAGGCAAGGGCAAAGCCAGTCAAAAAATGGTGGCAGAGGTAAACAAAAATTGTCATAATCAGCTGGCAATTACAGAGATAACTTTCTACTGAGATCTAATCCATTTTTAGAGCTTGCTAAATTCTTTTCCTTGTAAAAAGGAGTTCCAGTACATGCATTTGCTCTGGTGGTAATGTGACGCAGCACCCCCATTTTAGGCAGAATTTACTGATCAACAGGCTCCCTTATTGCCCTTCCCCTCCTCTGGACCTTTGAAGGCCTACCTTCCTTCCTATACCCCCACCCCCAAACTTCTCTCCATCTCAGCCACTTTTACTCATCATGCAATGAGTTGCTGGTCCTGGAATTGGTCCATGCAAAAGGCTGTGGCATGGTTAAGGGAAGAGGCAGTCAAATGAGGAAGCCCTGGACAGGCTGTGGCCCAGAGGCCCAGATGAAAGTGGCCCAAGACCCGCCGGTGGATTCTTACCCACAGTTTGAGAAACACTATTCTATGTGGTTTATAGAAATGTAAACAGATTTACGCACCAACCTCTCTCTTCCAGGGCAGCAACTCCCAAATGCTGGCAGATGAAATCCAAATTTGTTCTGGCAAAAGGTAAGTCAGCCAATGAGATTTAATCTCATTGGATCAATGGCCCATCTAGTTCAGCATCCTGTCCTAACAACCTGATGCCAATGGAAAGCCTGCAAGTGGGATATGAGCACAACAGCACTTTGCCCACCTGTGATTTTCAATAACTGGCATACTGCTTCTGATAGTGAAGGTAGAACATAGCCATTGTGGCTAGTTACTGCTGATAGCCTTGTCCTCCATAGATATTGTTGCAAAAGTTGGACACCATTTCCACTCTCTGCTGAGCGGTAGCAAGATTCCAGGGGGTCCCAGGCATTCACCAAGACTTTGTGCTTCTTTGGAGAATTGAAGATGTGGCGGAGACTGCTGTAGTTTTAAGAAATATGGTTTATTCACCTATTTGCACCTTAAGTATGCATGGAGTCAAGATCTTACAGCATAGTCACTTCAAGAAGGGCTTATTCCCCACAGCAGTGCAACACCAGAGGCATCTCTCCCAGCCAGTCTTCAGGCAGCCTGCCCAAAATGGATCTCAGTCTTTGTTCTCCTTCTTGCCAGCACACCTTGCCAATGACTCTCTTTTCCTGTCACCTTACAACCAGATATCCTTGGCAACCTTCTGTCTGCTCAGGCCCAAGATTCCTCTTAGATGGGCCATCAACACCTTTTGTCATGTCAATGCCTCTATCCCAGGTGAGGGCCCTGGCTTGGAAAGGAAGCTTAGCCTGTATTTTTCCAATGGCCTGCTATCTTCCCTTCTATACTCCAAACAATCAAAATCCTACCATTTATTAATTTCTAGCCCCCCCCCCAAAAAAAACCCTCACAACAATATCAACAATGACAATTAATGGTTCTTAAGCAATTAGGTTGCATTCCTAACCATGTCTATTTAGAAGTAAATCTCATTGAATTCTATTTTAGATGGGGTTAGGATTGCAGCCTTGGTTAGCACATGGGAACTCTTTAATGGAACAACTGCTTCTTTCTATGCTTTCTCCCCACCTTCTCTGCTTCGCTGCTCCATCCTCTTCCAGTACTGCCACAGTATGACATATTCAACCATTCCTTAACAGTGGAAAACTTTCCCTTCCCTTCTTCAAAACTTCCTTACCCAGCCAGATTGCCTCATTCACTGCTACAGCAGCCTATGAATTAGGACTTAGGTTCTTATAAATGAGGACTTATGTTTTCTGAATGAAACTGCCCTGACCTGGTCAAATTCAATACGACTCTGTATTTGTCCGCTATAACTTTTTTCAGTAAAACACTAAAGCAAAAAATAACAGGACTATATGAATTAAAATTATGTATATGCCTGTGCCTTTGCATTCTACAGTGGACAAATTCTTTCCTCATCTGTCCGATGCTGGCAAATAATTTTATGAATTTACATTTTGTGACACTTCAACTTGAGAATGGTGTGGGATACTGTAATTTCCCCCTGATTTTGACTTTAAAAGGGTCAGACTTTTTAAGTTTAGAAGACTGAAATACTATATGCCTGCAAGATGTTTCTGTGCACAATAATTTGGTGTGTCAAATGGAGAAATGCACTTCTTAGCCACCAGTCATGTACAATGAACCATGTGCTCTGCAAATGGCTATTATGATTCAAAATGGCTATCACACACATAGACATTAAGCGATGTACAGAAATAAGCCATTGAAATCCATTAGGCAGTCCAAGGAACTGTTGCAAAATACTCCTCACAAATACCATAGAAGAAAGCTTTTCATTTATGGATACATTTTGCATAGGAACATGAAGATCACTACATTTATTAAAATTTGTTATATGGTCTTACAATTTTTTACTGCTGTCAGAATTTCCTGGTGGCAGTGAGACAGGGTTATATCCAGTCCAATAACTGAGGTGAGGCCATATGCTTCCTGAAAATGTAGGAACTAGAAACTTGAGAAGCTGCTTTATCTAGAGTCACACCATAGGTCCATCTAGGCAGTCTGAACACATAACACCAAACCTAGCCTGATTGCACTGACTACCAGTTAGTTTCCATGCTCAATTCAAAATGCTGGTTTTGATTTATAAAGCCTATAAATGGCCCCAATACCTCTCTGTATGCCTTTCCTCATATAAACAAGCTCAGACCCTGCCATCACCTTAGGCTCTTCTGTATGAGCTCCTCCATGGGAGATTTGGAGAGTGTAGGCCAGGAAATTGGACACCTAAAATGGCGTCCTGGGGGGAAAGTCGATGTCGAAAATTTCCCATACTTTTTTTGTTTGGTTGCGCAAAGTGTGCTTGCGCCATCCTGAAGTCCAGCAACTGGGAAGCTAGCACAATGGTTCTGCCCCACTTGACCACCTTTTTCTGCCCCAAGGTCCATCAACTGAAGCCAGAAGTGAAATCATGACTCAGGCAGGTGGAATTAAGGAGCAAGATGCAACTGAACACCTACTCAACCCAGGAACTTGTGATCAAGCTCATGGGTCCTTTCATGCAAGAAGTCCTTGCTGGTTTTCTCCTAAGCATTCTCTTTCAGCAGCCTAATTTATGGAAGTGAAAGCTCTTTAGTAATTGTTATTGTTATCCAGCTGAGAGTCAGAAACCCTTACAAGTTACCCAGTGATCCAACAATAGATCTTGATCTACCACCTGGCCACCACTGGCAGACTCTGGGTTTAAAGGTAGAACTGAGAAAGACTATGAAGAGCTGCTTCCAATCCACACAGACAATACTGAACTAGGTGGATTTTCCTTATGCAAAGCATGTGCTCTGGCACCAAAATGCAACCCACCTCGCAACAAAACCAGTGTTTAAGCAATGTAAGAACTATTTTTCCATAACTGTCAATGATAAAGAACTTGGCCCTCAATATAGAAATTAATTGGAACAGGGGCCTATTCACTACCTTATCAGATCTGTGGCAGCAGATGAATTGTACCATTTTGGGAGAGGCATCCTATAAACAATAAGTATTTATAGCAAGCCTTAAAAATAACGTTGATGCCTGTGTACAGGTTCTGTAATTGAACATCAGAGCTCTTTTATTTTTAGAACTAAAATGCAAAGACATGGCAAAGTTTCATGACTCTAGAGTAATACAGGACTTCAGCAATCAGCTACAGGGTCACGTACAGTATCTTTAATTTCACCTGTTGAGTGCTTGCGTGAATGTTTAAGGGCCCCAGAGGACATGAGAAACCATGGAAGAGAAACACAATCCCTGTGAAGATGAGGAAAATATTGAAGAACAGCCAGGCAGGATCATAAATAACATGAAAGACGGGCTCTGCTCTCTAATGCTCTCATAAAGAGTTCTCTCAAAACTCTTTTTGGCTCAGCCATGTGAAGGGCTGTGCTGATGGGCATTGTATGAGGTGCATGCAACAGCACATGTCACACCCAGCAAACCACACCCAGATTGTTGCTTGGGGAAGCATTTAGGCTAAACCATGTTGTTTTTGTTAGCCTTAAAGGCCATATCTGGCCTGGGTCATTTCCAGGCTAGCCAGGGCGATGGAAACTTTTCCGCACTGCTATCATGCACCTCTTCTGTACACTGCTCCAGCAGTAATGTGAAAAATTAAATTGAGAGTGTCTAGCTCTGCCTTGAATTATCAACCAAAAGGAGAAAGAGTCACCTTAGTTTTCAGTAGTGGTCAAAGCATTGGACTAGGACCTGGTAAACCAGAATTCAAATCCTCACTCAGCTATTAAGCCCAACTTCACAGGTTTGTTGTTGTTTATAATAACAAGCTTATTACAGTGGTACCTCGGGTTAAGTACCGTATTTTTCGCTCTATAACACGCACCCGACCATAACACGCACGTAGTTTTTAGAGGAGGAAAATCCGTAGGCATGCCTCCTGTAGGCATTCCCTCCATAACACGCACAAACATTTCCCCTTACTTTTTAGGAGGAAGAAAGTGAGTGTTACGGTGCAAAAAATACGGTACTTAATTCGTTCCGGAGGTCCGTTCTTAACCTGAAACTGTTCTTAACCTGAAGCACCACTTTAGCTAATGGGGCCTCCTGCTGCCGCCGCCGCACAATTTCTGTTCTCATCCTGAAGCAAAGTTCTTAACCTGAAGCACTATTTCTGGGTTAGCGGAGTCTGTAACCTCCCGAGGTACCACTGTATAAGGAATGTGGGACATATCTATGTAAAAAAAAAATGCATAGAATTGTCATGTAAAATATTGCAGACTCTCATGCGTCTGCATTTACACAGAAAAGTTGAGTATAGATTTTAGTATGAATGAATGAAGAAGCAAACAAACATTCATTGATATGAATATTATAGTCTTACAGAATCACAGAACTGCTTTTGGTTTTAAAACAGCTGTGGAAAACTCTTCAGGGGCTGACAAATGAGGGAAGGATGAATCTGACAAGCTTGGTTTCTCTGTGTTTCATACTTTTCCAATCCTGAATTCAGTTTTTCCCTTTCCCCCAGCACTTTTTGGGGAAAGGGGTTAATGTCTGCATGAATATTTTTGTGCGTTTCTCCCAAAATACATGTTTTGATGCTCAGTCTTCTCAAGCAATTTTCCCTAATGCATTTTGTATGTTTTTCTCACTAATATACAGTTGTTTGTACACACTTTCCCCTCATATATGTTTTTAGGTAAACATTTTTTGGGTTGGAGAGCAAATTTTGAATAGTCGCTGAGTTTTAACTGTGTGTTGGTTCATGGTGTACAAATTAGGTAGGTTCCTATTGATGCAAATGAAAATAATGCCTCTTTCACCCTCAGTGTAAATTCACGTAAGGGGGAAAATATGCTGGGATGGGGAACTTGGATCAGTGGGCAAAATATTACACAGAGAATCACTTCTCAGGACTGTTTCATTCTCAGGTTCTCGCATCACAGAATTGCTTCTCATTTTAAGAGCAGACGTGTCTGTATTTTATGCACATGTGCAAATCACATGTGGCAGCCCCTCAGAACTACGCATACCTTGTGACAGTGAGAGCTAACTTTACTATGAAAATGGTATAAAACCTTGCCAAAGTTACATGTATTTTTGTTTCAAAATAAGGGAGGGGGCTGAAGTTTAGAAACCTTCATAAGATATAACATAAATGGAGCCTTTAAGCTTCCTAAAAGCAAACGTGATCTGTAGATTTGCTCAGCATGTGATTTTCACTATCAAAAGTTTAAAAAATAGTAATACTTAGGTAATTTAATCAGAAGCACTGAACTGTACTTTTTTAAAAGTTACCCATTGATAGGATATGCTTCTTGACTCTAAATATGTTTTGGATTTATCTGAGGTTTGAAATAATTGGACCGGCTCTTAATTGTGCCAGCACAAAAAAAGCTGGAATTATTTTACCGCTTCAGAAAACTCTTAAAGTAATTTTACTGTATGGCTGACTTACTTGACATTCTTTAAATGCTGTAAGAAAGAGAAGAATTAATCATGTGATTTATTTTATTTTTTGGCTAAATAAAGGCCAAATCATGCTTCCAGGCCAAAAACACGGCACTACTTCTGGCATTCTGGTTATTATGATCAATGCTATGGTAAAAGGCAAGGTGATGTGAGAAGGAACAGCACATCTTATTTTTCACCTGTTCCCCATAGAAAGCATGTGTTCCACATTTCCCTTCATTTTTTGAATCTGAGGGGTTTTTTCACACATTCTAGTAATGTTTATTTTCTCTGTGTGATCATGAACACAATCACATGAAGAAACTTTAGTGCAAACCAGTCGTTTACACAAACCAACGGTTTCTGTGTTTGCAGTAGCTCAGCTGAAAAATACAGTCTTGATCGCTGAAATGACTGCAGCTATCCTAATGTAATCAGCTGGTCGGCCCTAGCATTCTGCAGAAGGACATGGCTGCCTCAGACACTAGAGGTTGAGGGGCAGGGAATGAACAGAGCAGTGTGTGCCAAGCAGCCTGCCCTATGCTTCTAAACTAGCCAGTTTTGTGCTCAGATGTAATGGAGGGCATTGTCTCATTGCCAAAACTGAAGTAAGTTTCAACTGCCCGTCTAAACTTAAAAAGTCAGCTTTTGTACATGGGAAGGCACCAACTTGTCCATTACCTTAGATACAAGGGCTTTTTTGGAGAAGAAGAAATGAGCAGTTGGGGGAGAAATGTTGTGCAGTTGGAAAGCTGACGTGCCGTTTGAAGAATGGAGGGAAGAGAATTAGCTTTGTTAGGTACATGTGTCTGCTAAACACCTAAATGAAAGGCAATGTGAGAGCCAGTGTGGTGTAGTGGTTAAGAGCGGTAGTCTTGCAATCTGGGGAACTGGGTTCGCGTCTCCGCTCCTCCACATGCAGCTGCTGGGTGACCTTGGGCTAGTCACACTTCTTTGAAGTCTCTCAGCCCCACTCACCTCACAGAGTGTTTGTTGTGGGGGAGGAAGGGAAAGGAGAATGTTAGCCGCTTTGAGACTCCTTCGGGTAGTGATAAAGCGGGATATCAAATCCAAACTCCTCCTCCTCTTCTTCTTCTTCTCAATGTCGGGCACAGCATGTACACAAATTACATGAGGATAAAAAGCACCAGTTTCCATACTTAAAACAAACTGTCCAAACCATATCAAGCATCTTTTTTAAAAAAAAACTAGAACCTCCTCTTCCCTTTCATCTTTGGGCAGCATCCTGAAATAAAGAGTGAATCTTTAAAGTACTCTTTTGTGTGTTGCGCCTGCTAGTTACTGAACAAAGGTGGATTCATAAATGAATTGTTGCTTTATAGAAGTTATTAGGTAAGACTGACCCCTATAGAGAAACTACCAGCCTACTATAGAAATATTCTACTCAGACTACTATATAAACTTTTCTTTCCTTGGTACAATATGTTCGACATTTAACCTTTTCTAATGCTTGGTTTTGTCCTGTGCCATCGATGTATGTTTCAAAGTTCATTCTTTCTAGTAAGTATAAAAACACATGAAAACTCCCTAGGGGTATTCTGTGTCCAGCAAAGCATTCCATCAGTGATATGGACCAAATAAGAGGAAGAGCTAAAGGCACCAGCTGAATGACCTGTTTCCTATCTTTCATATGTAGCTTCCAGCTGTTTAAGATGTTGAAGGGACCCACTGATCTTGGAAGATGCGCACTCTGTCCTTTGAGTATACTAGTGAATAAACAGGATAATAGAAACTGCAAAAGACTATGGGGCTCTGCGGTAGTGAATTGCATTGGTCAGCTGTTTCTGTAAACATTTCTTTTACAATGTATTAATTTAATCAAGCAACTCCTATTTATTGCCATAAGAAACTGGACAAGCAGCTGTTTCCTATTCACTTATTCCAAACGATTCATGATTTTATGCAGGTTTATCATATCCCTCACCCTACACCTATGTAAAAAAAAAAGTCATCGTCTTTTATCTTCTCCACATGTGGAATATGGTTGCTGTTGAGTTTTGTGTTTTTCCCCTTTTCCAGTTCTACTACATCATTTTCATTTCAGGTGGGGTTACTAGATTTAGATAGCAGACAATTGTGGTTACAACACTGACATGTTATTTCCTGAGTCCTCCCCACCCGTTTCAAATGTTCTGTTTCCCTTTTAATAATTTTGTCTGACACCCTGCCTTTATGTCTTTGGTGGGCATGTCAAATTGCAAGTAGATAAACAGGTACCACTCCAGCAGGAAGGTAAATGGCGTTTCCGTGGCTGCTCTGGTTTCACCAGAAGCGGCTTAGTCATGCTGGCCACATGACCTGGAAGCTGTCTTCGGACAAATGCCTGCTCCTCGGCCTGTAGAGTAAGATGAATGCCACAACCCCAGAGTCATCAGGGGTACCTTTACCTTCATTCATAATTTTTAACAAATAGGATGAATATTACATGGCATCTTGTGTTGTAATCCCCAGGTTGCTAGTGTTGTGAGGCCCTTTCATAACTACGCAAAACCTCGTTTAGATGTAATTGTGTTCAGTGGTTTCATATTATTTACATTAACCTGCCACCAGTAGTCATTGGAGGACATTGCTGAATTACTTGACTCAATTGCTTGAAAAGCTTAAGGATTTAAAATAAAATAACAAGAGACTTTGGCCAGGATACCTTGTCAATTTATAGTCCTCCTCCCTATAAAACAGATGAATTTAGTACATTTACTGGGTTGTAAGACAAACAAATGTGGTTACCTCAGTATAAATGAAAGCTTTAATGAGGCAGCCCTTGCTTGAGTGTTTTAGAAAGTGTTCCAAGATTTTATTCATGAATGGACTTTCTTTGCTTATTCATGTAAAGTTGTTGACCCTTCAAGCTTGTGTCTGCACAGCCTGCATGGTCAAGGGCCCTGTTATATGTACAGCAATCCAAGTGAATGAGAGCTATGTAAATGTATTCTGGAAAACACTCAGATGAAGGGTGGATTATGTCTTACTTCATGAAATATATGCATTTGCATTTGCACAGGATGTGACTTAGCCATGAGAGGGGTGGAACAGAATGCTAAACTTCTAATGTTGCCATCAACCTTAGGGTTGTGTGCACTTGGAAGTGTGCCCCACTGATTTCAATGGAAAGTATTTGCGAAGAAGGATACTTATGAGTGCAGCCTTAAAGAATTATATACAAAGGTTCTGTACTGCACTGAGTTGACGCTGCTCTCTGCTGCACCAGAACAGGTTGCCGGGTTGTGGCAAATTCCTGGTATAAATGCAGTTCAGAGGCTGCCTAGATGAGACGCCATTGAAGATGAGATGAGACCCACTGGATTCATTTGTATTTTTAGAAAGATGAACAGAAAAGCCTACTTATCAACAGATGCACAATATGTATTCAAGATTGTTTAAATTTTGTATAATTAGATGTTCAGATACCCTGCATATTTCATATCATATTAGTCTTTTTTCAGTAAGTGGTGGGGAACCTCAGGCCTGGAGACAGAATATGGCCCTCCAGGCCTCTCTGCCTGCCCTCATAACTATCCCTAGGCTGTATCCCTCACTGACCTTGCTTTACACCACAGGCATTTTTGCCTGGCTGGAATGTGCCATCGAACTCTGTTAATGCCTAATGCTTGTCTGGATAGAAGACACATGTGGCTGAGTGAGTCAGGGCAGAAACTAGCTTCCTGTACAAAGGTAACATTCAGACTCATTGGCCTCTGGCTCCACCCACCACTGACATGTGACCCTCCAAAGGTTGGCCAAAAGTGAATGTAGTCCTAGGATTTAGAAACTTTCCCAGCTTAGCACAGTGGCTATCAAAATGGTTTCTGCACTGGGTTTCAGTCTCTGGGTTTCAATTCTCTGGGTTTCTATTCCCCATATAATTGCTTCCCCTATTCATTCATTCATTTATTTTCAGTGCCCTCCCACAAGAGCACAATTGCAATTATGCAGGAATATTTTTATTTTTATTTATGAGCAAAAAAAATAAATCTCTGGTATTCCAATTTGAAACTGGACTCTGGGCACCATCCATCCTATTTAAAATCCCTCCTGAAAGCAACAGTTTCCATCAGTCTGTTCATCCTTTTGTGGTGGTGCTGTTGGTATCACTTTGACGCATTTCCCCATTAATTGCTGGTGCCTGCTTTCAATTGCTTTAATTGCTTGAAAAACTCAACATTGTACAGTTCCATTTTAAAATCAAGTTTTGATTCATAAATCCAAAGCATTCTGTGCACCCAGATGAAACAGTACATATGAAAGGCACACATTCTCCTTCACTCTTGAGTTCTAGGATTTGTATATGCCCCAGATGCATTAATATAATCTAGATTTCTTTCACCTGGAGCAGGAACCGGCAAGCCACTCCAGTATCCCTGCCAAGGAAACTCCATGGACAAAGACAACAGGCATATACCGTAATTCCCTTGTCATAGAACTGAAAATTATTAACTACTTCACATGAAGAAACGTTTCGGCCCAAATCCTCCCTCACATGTTCCATTTTACCGAGCTGTTGTGTCATTCAGGTTCATATATTCAAACTATCCTAAAATGAGAGTTTAAGGGAACTACATGTCCTTGCATAAAACAAAACAACATAACCTCAATAGAAATTAAACCAGATCCAAATAAAATATCATGCGTGCACACAAAACACCTTGATTCCTACTATGATGGCATGCCTAGCATGGGACTAATTATTCTTGGGTGTGTGTGGAAAGGTATTGCATCTAACTCACCGTTTGTCTCTCTACCTTAGGGACCATCTACATGTAACTTTAACTACAGTGGTACCTCAGGTTACATACGCTGCAGGTTACATATGCTGCAGGGTACAGACTCCGCTAACCCAGAAATATTACCCGGGTTAAGAACTTTGCTTCAGGATGAGAACAGAAATTGTGCAGCAGCAGCACGGCGGCAGTGGGAGGCCCCATTAGCTAAAGTGGTGCTTCAGGTTAAGAACAGTTTCAGGTTAAGAACGGACCTCCGGAACGAATTAAGTACGTAACCAGAGGTACCACTGTATATGGAAGCTTGCTTTCGAGTGGTGATTCCCCACATCCCCACATCTGAGTGTAATCTCTCATGCAGTGGACCATGTGAATGCTCCTGACCACAGGGAAGTTCCCTGACCCCATTCACATGTTGAAAATACACATGAAGGGGTTGTGCAGTTGTGCTGACCTGCTGGGCCCCCTTAACAACAACATTATGTGCCAGTATTTGACAGCTGTGTAAAGGGAACTTTATGCCTGTGCCAATGTATGCATGTGGGGCTTACAACATGCAAGGGGGAAATCCCGATTGGTTCAGAAGAATCTCAACCCTAAACCTCTGTTTAAAACTTTCCTCTTCAGTTTTCATTTGAGCTTCTCTCTCCTTTTGATAGACAATATGAAATCAAGCCCAGCCCTTGTTCTACTGAAGTCAGATTGTGTGAAAAGCAAAAATGGACTCTGCCGTGAAAGCCTGCAGCCATGTATATATGTACACATGAAAGTAGGCATGGGGTGAGAAACTCAATTTTGTTTATATTTTCATGAGAAACTCCATAATATGCATTTCTTGACTCAAAATGCAAGCCAAAGCATAGCTATCCTTTCAAACCTGCACCTTTCTGAATTTTGCAATGCAATTCATCAGCCAATGTATACAAAAATGTGTATATTGAGGAAAAGAATTGTGGAAAACACATACAAAATGCATTGCATTAGGGATACAGAGAGAGAGAGAGAGAGAGAGAGAGAGAGAGAGAGAGAGAGAGAGAGAGAGAGATGTTTTCATTAGAAGAAATTCTTACTAAAATGCTGACAAATTTACATAGGGAAGTGCAGATTGTTGAAGATATGTAGAAAACAAATTTAAGACTGAAAAAATGAGAAACCGAGTGAAATTGAACTTGACAGATTCATTCATCCCTAGTGGAAATAAACTGTTTCTATTCTAAACTGTTATTGATTTAACTTGATCCCAAAATGTATTTGCTTTAAAACTTTGTATAAAGCAAACAAGGAACTTAGTTTAAGGAAAAGGGTAAGAATATATTTTTTCACATTGTGATTTGTTTGCATTTTTTTTCAGGGAAATATAAGTCCTGAAAACTGTTGTGTAAGCTTATATTTTGTGTGATTTTGTACAGCTTTACAAACCAGTGCTGCAGTTACTTTGCACAAGATGAAGATGGGATTACTGGAGCAAGTTGACTTGTATTTTTGGTATATTCCAATACTCACCATTTTACTAAAGATTTTGAAACAGTTGCTTAGAAACAACATAATGGCCCTGATCCAGAGAAATGTCTACGCACATTAAATTCAACAGGACTTACTTTTGGGTAGACCTGTATAGGATTACACTGTAAATTGTGTTTAAGTCACAATGGAATAGAAATACAACTTGCTTTCTCTGGACTGAACTCAACATGTATGAAGAAGGACTGAGTCACATTGTTCAGTTTGAAAAGTTCACATCTTCCAATCAGATTGTGATGTCCTTCCCAAAGTGTGAGTTAAGTAAAAGATCATGCAAACAGATGTTAAACTAGAGGCCCTAATGGAAAATGCTGCCTTTTTTGTTTTTTATAGGGGAAAATACACATTTCTTAGAAATAGGAAAACAATTAAGCAATCACATATTTTTATTTTCTGAAACAAAGGAAGATATAATAGTCAATTTCTGTGTGTTTTTCTCCAGATTAAAAAAAAAAAAGTATTTGTAATAATTCCAGGAAAGTATTATCTTTATTTTAGTTTGCCTTAAATAATTATATTGGAGCAATTCCATTGATGTCAATGCCTCTACCCTGTGGCTGCAATCCTGTGCACATTTATCTTGGACTCCAGGAGTAAATCCAACTAAATCAAATGGGGCTTACAGCTGAGTAAATACTAAGAATTGTTTTGTAAAGGTTTGACTATTGTCAAATATGAAAAATATGTGACTTCAGGGTCTGCACAAGATTTTTTATAATAAATAATAATAAAAATAAAATGTATTATTATTACTGACATTTTACTCTGGATGGTGGAATTTCTTTTTAGGTCATGTAACTGTAGTTCAAAGTTTGACGGAAAGGACCGTAAAGGGGGAGATGGTCCTTGCCTAGTGGTATAAACATTGTGATACATTTACAAAGTTCTTAAAGATGCTGAACATTAGAATATGCTTAATCTGGATAGCACTGAAAGTAGACTCTTTTGTTATTGGAAAACGTGTTTTCAGATGCATTTGAAAAGGAAAAACTCATGCAGTGGAATCATTGCAGACATGGTCCTCCTCACATTATCTTTAGTGGAAAACTGAACACTTGGAAGGGTGTTTTGGTAAAATATATGTTAATTTTTCCAAATACACTAATTTTCCAAATAGCCAGTTTGTTTGCTATTTGGGAACTTACAAACTGGCTGTTGCTAGCCAAGTGGTGGGAAAGACACAGTTTGCATGACCATCTCATACTGTGGAGGGAAAAATGTATTTCAAGAAGCAAATGGAAAATAAGACTGAGGATTTGATTCTCTCCCTTTTTCAAGCCTGCACAGTGAGTACAATTAGTGCTGCAATTAGATGTGACTTGTGGGATGAAGGGGGAAAAGAATACTGGAAATAGGAATGTGGGCCAAATTATATAGTTTTCTGCTACACTGACACAAATCCTGTGATCTTGAAAAGGACTGTATCAAGGAAGACAGAGAAAAACTTGGTATGTGACATGTTTTTGTCTATGGTGTATGTGTATGTCTGTCTGTATGCTTGAATCTACCCACATTTGTGCAATGTACCTGAAATCAATTTAAATTTACATAACATGCCAGTTTGCAGATTAAAAGAAACATTAAATATTTACACACTGCTGTTGTGTTTTTCATTTCCATATTAATGGTTCCAAAATGTCATTCAGTATATTCTTTCACTTTTCCTCGCCACCCCTCTGGTGATAGGAAAGTTTCCTTGTCTCACTAATTGTGTAAGTCTAAAAGCAAATGTCGTTTTTGCAGGGGTGGGTGGGTGAAAATCAACAGACTGGAACACTGAGAACTAGAATTTCCATAGAGTAGTGCTTCAGTCCTGAGAAGAAAGAGACCAAAAGGGCATTTTCATGGCTGGAGCTGATGTTGTCTCTGTTCATTAAATTGGAAAACATTATTACAAAGCAGTAGGTTAAAGAATTTCAATAACATCATTCCTTCTATTTGCCATGTTCAGTGGTTGAGTGCTTATCCTTATGCAGAAAAAAAAATGCTATCCACACACAAGAGGAACATAGATGTGTGCTTGGAAGAACCTCATCTGGGGACCATAGGCTAACTTCGGGGTTACAGAAGAGGCTATGTAGTATATCTCCATGAATCTCCCAGGTTCCCCATGAATCTCCATGTAGATTCAGTTGCCACTCCATTGGTTTCTGTATGTGAAACCACAGGGGTGCTTCCTTTGTCTGTTCCCTCAGCCAGTAAAATATATTGGTAAAACCCATTATTAATTTTACAACTGAGATGGAAATTTAATGAAAACTTTTACTTTATGTTTAAGCTGTTTGAAAAGGTCAGTGAAAAAGCACTCCAGTAAATGGCATTGTACTTTCTGTAAGAATAGTCTAAGTTGCTTTCAAACTATACCTAAAGGTGGGAGCTCACATTACTGAATGCTTCTCTGTAGAAAAAGGTCTCCGGCACATAGATAGCTAACATGTCTTTTTTTAAAAAAAAAAAATCTTAATTTTCATTTTTTCACATCACACATAGAAGAAGAAGAAGAGTTTGGATTTGATATCCCACTTTACCATTCCCCTTGAAGAGTCTCAAAGCAACTAACATTCTCCTTTCCCTTCCTCCCACAACAAACACTCTGTGAGGTGAGTGGGGCTGAGAGACTTCAGAGAAGTGTGACTGGCCCAAGGTCACCCAGCAGCTGCATGTGGAGGAGCGGAGACGCGAACCCGGTTCACCAGATTACGAGTCCACCGCTCTTAACCACTACACCACACTGGGTCACAACTCACAACACATCAACCACGTTGCTTAAAAATATCAAATCACATTCTTACAATTCACTCTAGAAAACCTGTTCACATATTACCATGAGATCTTGGGGATTATAAACACAATCTTCTTGACACATATAATCCAAAAACAGTTGCCACACATTAGAGAAAATATAGGGATTAGAATTCCCTTTGGTTGTATGAATCTGGCACATCAACTTTTCTGGACAGGGCTATTGTCCATGCTCTGGAGTACCATGCTTCAATGTTGAAGCCCAAGGCAGTGCACCATCGCATGGCTATTTCCATACGTGCCACTGTGAGGAGTTGACATGTCCTTTATTCCAAGTAAAGCGAGCTGAGGGAAAACTTAGGAGGTCCATTTTGTATATTAAACTCAATTCCTGGAATACCAGAACACCAAATGGGCAAACACATTTGCAAAACCTCCACAAATAATAACTAACATGTCTGATACGCACGTAGAATCTGTCTTACATTGACTTCTGCATGCAGTGATTCGAAAATAGACCAAGAGAGAGTGCAGGAATAGACAACCTTTTTGAAGATCAAGGGCTGCTTTTCCTCAAGAGAAAGTGGCTAGGGGGGGCCCAAGCCAAAAAGGTGGAGGATCCTCTCTCTCTCTCTCTCTCTCTCTCTCTCACACACACACACACACCCTCCATCAGCCCACCTACTGCATGGATCCTCAGCTTCTACTTGCCTCTGCACAGCCTTTCTCCCATTTATTCATTCATCATCAACATTAGTTCTCCTTCTTTCCTCTAAAATATCTTTCAGTCATGTGAGCGTCACCTGGATATTTTACATTCCAGTTTCTCTGGCTTTGAAGTACTAAATAGAACACATCTAAACAGAACTGATACAGTTTCATTTCAATGTATGCCTGCAGTTCAGATGACTTATAATAATGCCAATAATCACATGTGCATAAAAGGAAGGTTCATTTTAAATTCATGTCATTCATATTATGCTGATGAGGCTTTTCTATTTTGGATAAGCTGCATTCTCTCTTCCTCTCCCTTCTGCTTTCTTTAGCGGTTAGTCTCTGTCATTGGCTCATCGCTGCCATTCTGCAACATGACAACTTCATTTGTACTTTATAAGTTCCCAACCCTAACTGAGAAAGTCTGCTCTGTGATGTTTGGGGAAAATGGTACATGTTGTGGCTTTCATCGTTTTGGAAATGATTGCAGCTGAAGTTTTACTTCCCAAAAGTGGGACTCGTTTTAACTGCTCATAAAATTCTCTCCACAACAGCTAGCTGCAGAGAAATTCTCCTGTTGTTTTTGGTAAGTTCACAAAGCCTCTGGAAAACACCTTTCAGTCATGTGACTAGCAGTCACAAGCTATACATAAAAAGGTGGGGGGACCCAAATCCTCATTAATTTCCATGTACTGCTCTAGCTGCCTTCCTCGTAGTAAGGTTTTGCTTCTTCCTCCCCTATTTTAAACAGAGGCACTGGTGGTAGAGTACACTAAGCCCAGCAAATGTCAAGCTTTGCTTTAAAATTATTGGTATTTAAGGGAGGCATAATACCATTAAGTCTAAAGCTATTAAGATTTTCTTAGTGAAAACACACAGGGCCATTTTATGCCGTTCTGACAGAGGGCTTTAAATAAGCCCCACTGTGCGGATGTTGTAGCTTTTTCTATTTCCCAGGGAGAAAATTTCAGGAGAGTTGTGGTGATGGCACTTGGTTTGTATAAGACTAATAAAAGGATCGAGATGTAGGCATGTTTCTCCAGTTCTGGATTCCCGCCCCCCTCCGTGGTCAGAACTTTGAAGTTTTTTAAAAGCTTTGTTCTCTTCCTCTTTGCCAGGCTAATAAAAAGAATTATTATTACTACCACATTTGTGTTTCTTGGATTTTTTTTTATTTTTTATTTGGCTAATGCAAGTACTTTTACAACATAATTGCGCCGAAAAAGAGCAATTAGAATTAAAGGAGCCTTGGCCAATAAGTACAGCACTTATTTCAATTATACTAGTAACATAGGAAACCTGAAAGCCTACTTGAATTACCCAAATGATACTTTAAAGAGAGGGAGAGAGAGAGAGAGAGAGAGAGAGAGAGAAGAATTGCTTTTAAACTTAACAAAACTCTTAATTGGTGGGGGAAGGGTGGTTGATATGAATCTGTGGTAACCAGATTTGCAGTCTGAACTGTTCGTCTGCCACACTGTTGGCCATCAAAGAAGGCCTGTCTCACCAAGCTTTCTATTTTCACAACAGGATATCTGGTTTCTTTTATGAGGATACAGCTAGGTTAATTTGGTTTAGTGGTTTGCTGGAGGTAAGCATGCTCTTCACAGCGCAAACACCAAAATCCCCCCCTCAAAGCAGTTTCCTGCTAATAGCCAAGGTCTGATTGGCAGTTTTGCATTGTAAAGTGTGATTTGGTTGGATAAATATGTTTAGTCTAGTAAGCACTTTAGTGATTGAGTGTCTGTTAATGGATAAAGGTGGATTACAGTGAAACCTCTACAGGCTGTCATTGAGCACTTTAGAGATGTGAGATGTCAGAAAGGCAAGGGAGGCAAATTAATGGGGAACTGTGACCAAACTCGGCAAAACTCGGACCATATTTTAAACATTGGGTGGTGCTAATTTTTGCATAGTTTTGAAGTCATAATCTCACCAGAGGACCCACAGCCCGACTGAACCTCCCAATCTGGCCTTACATTGCTGGATTTTGTCTGGAAATGTAGACAGAGAATTTAAAGGCAGTTTTCAGCACTGAATGAATGTAACTAGAATGACTGTTTATGCTTCCTTTTAATAGATTCTCCTTTTCCACAAGAATTATAGATCCAGAGAACATGGCAGACTTCTCTTACTTCCGCTGCCTCTCCCCTGGAGTTCCCTCTTGTTTCTCAACTCCAGACTTCCAACCTCAGGTGCAAAAGGTCCGTTTTAAGGTATGTATATTGGAATGTAATTACTTTTGGGAGGGCATTTCCTTTCTGCCCACAATAAAGAAAGCATGGTGCTAAAATGTTAAGAGTAAGCATATTGAATTTAAACTGAAATTGATTCCTCCCCCCCTTTTGTTTTTTAAATTTATGGGTGATATCCAACTAAGTTGCACTCAAGAATAGTACTTTAATCGATGGAATCAAGTGGCTCAAGTCCACTGATTTCAGTTAGTCTACTCTGAGTAGGACTAGTGTGTTTTTTACTTCTGGAAATAAAAAATAAAAATTATCAGAGTATTTCTGAGCCAAGTCGTTAAAAACAACAACATGGCAGTGTACAATAAAATCATTAAACTATTTTGAAAATAATAAAATACAGAGCAAGGGACGAACAGCGGATCCAATTATTTATCTGAAAATGCTTGGTGGAACAGTCACGTTTTGGGCAGGCAGTGAAATATCAGAATTGCGATTGCCTGTCTGATTTTAGCAGGAACATTGTTTCAAAGTACTGGTGCCACCATGCCAAAGGCCTTAGTTTGCATAGAAACCAAACAAAGATGTGATAACTGGGAAACAGAAGGGCTTCTCCAGATGATCTGGCTGATGTAGAAGGGAAAAAGTGGTCTTTCAGGTAACCCAGTCATAGGTCATTCAGGGCTTTATATTCCAACAGGAATACCTTGAACTCAGTTGCTGATGTACTGGCAGAGCAGTTTTCAGTCCCAATGTCATATGCCCATTTGGAGTAGCTCTAGCCAAAAGCTGGTCTGCCGATTTCTGCACTAGCTGCAATTCCCAAACAAACCTCAAAGTTATGCTTTTTGTTATTCTTATTACAGAGTACAGTAATTCTAAGCATTTTATTTCATATACAATGTTTATATGCAGCTTGATTATAATAAAACCTGTAAGCAATTTCTCCCCGCAAAAGTCCTTTGATTTTCAGAGGGCATTTCCTCTATGTACATAGGGTTGCAGCCTGTATTAATTATATATGAGAATTGATAAAAAATATAGTTATACAAATATCCAGTTTTCCCCAAAACAGCCTTCTCATCAATAAGATTTTAAGCGACATTTTTTTCTTTTTTTAAAAAAATTAAAAAAAATAATCTACCCTAATACTTTTACTAACTTTTACTAAAAAAAATCAAAAAAAAATCTACCCTAATACTTTTACTAATATTCATGTACTGTGACACCACTGCTACATATAGCATTATATGAGGTGGTGAAAAGCAGCCTTTTCCAGCGTTATAATAGCTCAGGGCAGAGTCATAAATGGATTTTTCAAAATGTTATGCATTTTACGGAAGGCTTAAGAAGTACCTTTTTTTCTGCCATGGTATGGGTATTCAGTGCCATGGTTTATTCAACTTTAAATGGAGTAGGCCCATTGAGATTAATAGCCATTAATAGTTTAAGTCCGTCAATTTCAGTGCAACTTCTCTGAGTAAAGATGTGTTGAATACAACCCAATGGGCCAGATTCAGCTACCCTGTTCCACTAGCAGAAGCCAGCATAAGGACTACTGCTAGCACAATGGGCTTCCCCCCCCCGCACCCCACCACTTCCCCCAAATTCACTCTGGAGGGACGGGGGAACCCCCAGAACAGGATACAAGAGGAGGAAATGGGAGGTTGTTCCAACAGGCGAGCAGAAATACATGCAATGACAGAACAACCTCCTTAGCTGTTGTACCTTGAAGTCCATCCTATGTTTTTCATCTGGAACATGGTTTTCCTATAGAGGCATCCTCAGAGCATCTTACTGATGTGAAGGCAAAAGTGACAAACTAGCAGCTATTCTGGTTTGGATACAAGCAACCAGTGACTGACAGTAAAGTTTCTGCCTAAATGTACTGCTCCTAAGACTGGACTGTAAGTAAGAAGCCTATTTTAACAACTTGTAACACACACACACACAGAGAGAGAGAGAGAGAGAGAGAGAGAGAGAGAGAAGTGCACACACACACACACCAATAAGATTGTTTCAATATGACAGCTTTAAATCTTTCAAGATAGTTGATGTTTAAAACATGTTTGGCTATGAGAGAAGCCAAATTCTGAAATATGTCTTATTTTGATAGTAGGCTTAAGGAAATATATGATGGGAGAATGTACTGGCCTGCATATATGCCATTATGAATGAGCAAAAAGATATGAAGATAGCATGCAATGAGATATGAAAGGAGGAAATGATAGGTTTTTTTATTTTTATGATACAACTCATTAAGTCATTTTTTCTACTGCTAGTAATCCTGTAGGAGACATACAACATTTAGAAATAAAATGATTAAAATGCAATTAATATATAAAGCATTTTATTAAACACTGCATACCACATAATCATCATCATATCATCTCACTTCTTTGGAGGGGAAAATCAAACTGGACATCTTCCTTCAATTGATGCCCACCCCAGTTCACCTTCTCTCCTCTCCAACTTCCCCCATTGCTAACTTTTCACACAGAATCATCTTCTCCTGTCATCCAAGCCACTGCCATGTCTCCTCCTTTTGGAACTGGGCTGCTCCTTGAACTGCTACATGACTGTTCCCCCTTGTGCCCATACCATGGAAAGAGGGAATGGCTGAAGAAAGGAGAGCTCCACAATCACATCTGGGGCCTCCGTCTGCTAGTAATAAATATATTTAACCTCTGCAGCATTTACTACATCTGATACAGTATTTTCTTGCCCTCACAAGCTATGGTGAAATAGGAAGGTGCTACCCCACCCAGCCGGGACATGCGTGGCGCCGTGGGTTAAACCACAGAGCCTAGGACTTGCCAATCAGAAGGTCGGCGGTTTGAATCCCTGCGACAGGGTGAGCTCCCGTTGTTCGGTCCCTGCTCCTGCCAATCTAGCAGTTCAAAGTGCAAGTAGATAAATAGGTATCGCTCCGGCAGGAAGGTAAACGGCGTTTCCGTGTGCTGCTCTGGTTCGCCAGAAGCGGCTTAGTCATGCTGGCCACATGACCCAGAAGCTCCCTCGGCCAATAAAGCAAGATGAGCGCCGCAACCCCAGAGTCGGTTGTCTTCTTATATTGTTCCCAGTCTTTCAGCTGGGTTGGGGAATAGTTCAACCAAGCTAGAAGAGTTCTATGAAGTCTTAGAAGATAAAAAAGCCAATGCAATTCTGGGCTGCATCAATAGGAGTATAGCATCTAGATCAAGGGAAGTAATAGTGCCACTGTATTCTGCTCTGGTCAGACCTCACCTGGAGTACTGTGTCCAGTTCTGGGCACCACAGTTCAAGAAGGACACTGACAAACTGGAACGTGTCCAGAGGAGGGCAACCAAAATGGTCAAAGGCCTGGAAACGATGCCTTATGAGGAACGGCTAAGAGAGCTGGGCATGTTTAGCCTGGAGAAGAGGAGGTTAAGGGGTGATATGATAGCCATGTTCAAATATATAAAAGGATGTCACATAGAGGAGGGAGAAAGGTTGTTTTCTGCTGCTCCAGAGAAGCGGACACGGAGCAATGGATCCAAACTACAAGAAAGAAGATTCCACCTAAACATTAGGAAGAACTTCCTGACAGTAAGAGCTGTTCGACAGTGGAATTTGCTGCCAAGGAGTGTGGTGGAGTCTCCTTCTTTGGAGGTCTTTAAGCAGAGGCTTGACAACCATATGTCAGGAGTGCTCTGATGGTGTTTCCTGCTTGGCAGGGGGTTGGACTCGATGGCCCTTGTGGTCTCTTCCAACTCTATGATTCTATGAGGATGCCAGTCAACAGGTAACAGTTCAGCGGTGTGTCAGCAAAGTTAACACATATTTAGAGAGCCAAGTGTTATCCAGGAAGTTACAGCCTTTCCCAGCCTAGTGTCCTACAGATGTTTTGGATTACAACTCCCATCACTGACTGTTAGCATGCCCAATAGTCAGGGATTATGGGAACTGTAGTCCAGAATATCTCAAGGGCTGCAAACTGGGGAACCTTGTATTAGACCAAGGAGGTTTTCCAACAGCTTGTTGCACCTGCAGAGATTTCTCTGTTCTGAAGGTTCTTCGGATTTCGGTCTCTGTTGCCCTTACTGTCTCTATTCCTGGCTGATCCTGGGACTGTCATACATTGCCTACAGAACTTGTGTTATGAGATGACTGGTAAATGCAGATAAGAAATGAATACACATACATACATACACACACACACACATTCAGTGTTAATTAAAGTCTCTTTAACCTTGTCTTCCTTTCTCTTTGATCCCCTTTACAAGAACAATATCTCACATTTCACTTTTACAATCACTTAGGTGTACAAAGCCTTTGGAAACGGGACTAGAGATAGAGAAACGTTGCTTATGCAGCCATCTGGTGTGCTTTTTTATCACATTTTTAAAGGGCACTGGAACCATTGGATGGGCATGCTATTAAGTACTCATCCACTTATCAAGAGGAAGCAGCTGCCAGGCTGATAGCGAGCCCTTTCTTATAAACAAACTCCTTTGAGTATGAATATTATATTGGTGTCTTTAAGCTGACTTCACTATGCAGATAATAATATTCCAAAGGAATAGAATAGGTGGCAAAGTTAGCCAATGAATTCAAACACCTTGACAGCATCGGATACAGCCCAGTGTCTTCTCAGGTTCAGCCAGTCCTCAACTAGGGTCTTCCGTAATGATCAATAGCCATTTGTACCAGCCCTCCCTGGACAGCAATAGAAAAACAGCTGTTTCCACCTGGGAACTGTATGGAAGTTCTTTACAACTGTACAATAATAAACAGTGGGAAAGCTCAGCCCAGTTTAGAGCTCCTTTTGTTTGCACACTTTCACTATCTTTGCATTTGTTAGACTGTAATTTTCTTTGCAATTGTATTTTATCAGGCTATTGTTTGTGTAGCTTTGGATTCTGCTGCAAACATATCTCAAATAAAATAAATGCCCAATTATATACCTCCCCCGCTTTCTTTCTGCATTTGCAAGTACATCGTTACCAACTACAGAAGGCAGCTTGCATTTAGACAGAGTGCTCTTTAAGCAGCAAAGAATTACCCCTCCCTGGGAGAAAAAAAAAGTGTAAATACATAACATGATTTACCAGTTGTACGGCTCTAGGGTCTCAAATTCCCATAAATATAAGTGACAAATTATCAATAAATCATTCCTGGGCCTACCATATTGCACCAATGTTTATTGAAATCCTCTACTAATAAATATGAGAGTCACCTTTCCTAGCTGTACCCTGAGAAACAAAGATGACAGCAATTACAAACAGACATGAAAAATGAAAAATATGACTTTTGCAAGTAACAATTCTTCCCAGGCCTCCTTGGTCTGATTGACCTGTTCTAGAAGAATGCTTTATTCCACAAACACTGCACCAAATTGATAATATTTGTTCTATATCAACAAAATTGCAAGCCATATAGTTTTGAAAGGGGAAGTTCTAACAGGTAACTCCTGACCTTGAGAGGATTAATTCCCTTCCTTTTTTTATTATTAGTTGCAGATAATCTGTTTCAGGACCAAAAGGACTGTGTCTAAATAGCTGCTAATACTGTGCTGCATGATTTATGCTTTGAAATTCCAGTGTCACCACCATTAATCCCACAAAATTAAGTGGCAAGTGGAACAAACAGACGTGGCAATGTTCAGGGCTCAGTTATTACCCCTGTTATATTGAAATGTGGCATTATGGGCTGTGTGTCATAAATTTTTCCCCTGACAATATACCCAAACACATTTGGGTTTAAGTGTTGCTTACCTTGTATAAACAATGATGTATTGAATTGTCGAAGCGGGATCTGGCCCTTTATTCAATCCCACCCTGCACCTTCAGACACACCTCTCAAGAATTCCTTGAAATACAGATTTTCTCGTTTCTGAATCTGATATGAATAACAATTAATGTGTTAAGGGCATCCTTTTATTTTAACTCTCTTTTCTTTTACAGGACAATACCTCAAGGGTATTGATAACAAAGATTCCCACCTTCAAGCAACTGAACCATGCTAGCTTTTAATTGTGCGTTTTTGCAGTTGTAAAGCAGTTCCTCACGCCACCTGCATTAATAGATAAAAAGTATGCTGTGAATTTGTAACACACAGGTCTAATTCACAAACAAATACTGAAAGTCAAGTTTTGGTGATACTCCTCAGAAATTATTGAATGGTTATAAACAAATGAAAATAAAAAAGACCCTTAATTACTTTATATTTTAATAAAAAATTAAAAAATTGCCCAGTGGCACCTTAGAGACCAACTAAGTTTGTTCTGGGTATAAGCTTTCGGGTGCATGCACACTTCTTCAAATACACCAATACATTTATAGATACACTTATATTTTAAGTGAATGATACACAGATATATAGCATGTACACTTAATGCAAGCAGATAGTGAGGACCAACTGTCAATTGCACCCCCACCCACGCAACACCCCATACCCCTCAACTATCCATTGGGGCATCCCATTTTGGAGGGGGTCACATGACTCATGCAGGTCACGTGACTCGCACAGGAGAACAGCCCTCGAAGACGGGCACTTGCTTTTCCACTGCAACATATTGGAGGGTATGCACCTCCTCAAAATGCACAATCCAATTACCCGTATTTATTATCAGTTTATGATAAAATTTGCCTCGCCATATAGCTAGAAGCTATAGGCCACCAGCTCCCCATGTGATTTTAATAAGCATAAACTACTTCTATGTGGCAAGCAGTCACTTGTAGTAATCTCCTAGACCTCAGACTGGGGGCCAAATGCAACCCACAAATCCTTTGGGACTCTCTCCAGGTCACACCTCTCAGCAGCCCTCCTCCATGCCTTCCTTCAGTGCTTTTGCCTGCTTGAAATCTGTTCCTGAATGGTGATGATGCCTCTCGCTTCCTGGGATGGAGAGATAAGAGAGTGTGTAGAAACTAGCCAATGCTTTCACTTGCTGCCCCATCCAGTTTTGCCTCTGGCCACCACCACTGGAATGAGGCTCTTGGAATGTGTTCCTCAGGCTGAAAAAGCTCATTCACCTCTCCCTTAAGCTTAAGCCTACAGCCAGGCCTAGGACACATGCTTTGTGTTTTAAAGGACAAATGAAAAACAAGAACATAATGGAGCTCCATAAATTCTCCTCAGTGTGTTGCCTGCTTGCCTCCCTCCCTGCCAATGTTGTATTCCCAGCTTGCATGTAGTCACACCATCCTCATGAATTTTGGGGGAGCCACGTTACTTCACCCTCCAAGGCCAGTCTTTGGCATGTTTATCAGAAGGTGTCCTATACCGTTTTATTCCTTATTTTAGAGTGTGAGGAGATAAGAGCAACACAGCAGCCTCTTAATGAGCTGACATAAATCCAGTCTAGTCTGGAACCGTTTCCCCCCTCACTATTTTTAGCCATATGGCTCTGCTCCCAAGCAATACTCACTGAGTTCACAGCTTAGTGGGGGCTCAACAGCAAGGTGAACCTCATATTGATTATTACCCAGAGCGACGTGAAGCTTGTGTCATGCATATACTAATGGGAGATAAAAACTCCTTATACCTTTAAACTTATCTTCATAAAACTTGGCAGGAGGTTAATTCCAGAAGGATCTGAGTTTTCTAAACAGTTTGGTTTAAAAGTTCAAAGGATTAAAGGATTAATTTGGGGGCCAGAGAGGCTAAGTCATTTCCTTATATATTTGTTTGACAAATGTTCTCATAAGCCAATGAAACACTCAGCACTTGTCCCCATAATGCTGATGTATTATGGTAGGGCATGGTCTAGCTAATAGAGCATTTTGAGAGATGAGGGGTTAAATGTCCCAGAGCTGGTCACTGGGAATGGCCTATACTAAGCTTCTGGAGCCCACCCTGGATTGCAATCCAGATACCAAATCCCCATGGTTCTTGGTTGTCTTATCCCTATCCCTCCAAATCAGTGGTGGCCAAACTTGGCCCTCCAGCTGTTCTTGGACAACACTCCCATCATCCCTAGCTAACAGGACCAGTGGTCAGGGATGATAGGAATTGTAGTCCCAAAACAGCTGGAGGGCCAAGTTTGGCCACCACTGCTCTAAATGCTCTGGAGACTCAAAAACAAGACATGTAACACTGCTTCCCTCCCTTCCGTCCACACCAGGGATGGGGAAACCTGTGGCCCTTCAGGCTGTGGTTGGACTCCAATTGGCCCCAGACAGCATGGCCCAGAGTCAGGAATGATGGGAGTTAGAGTCCAGCAACTTCTCAAGGTTCCCATGGGTTCCTTGCACCTGTCCAACACCCTGCTTCCCTGAGTTGCAGGTGCTTGTCTCCCCAACCTACTCAAAGTGCCAGTTTCTCCATATATTCCTAAAACTCCCAAATCACTCCTTTGATTTCATTCTCCAGTTCTCTTCCTCCTCCTCTCTCCATCTTCTTCTCTGCACAGTCAGGATGATGTGTGGTTAGGTATGTGTAACAAATTGCATGTTGCTGCACACAATCTGTACACAGCAGGGCCAATGTAAGAGTTGAGCATTGCCAGATACCTGCTGAAGCTCCCTTTGAGGGGACCCAACCTCTGATCCTCAGGTCCTCGTCTTGCTACTCCTGGAGCTCCTCCTTGCTTTCACTGTCAGTTCAATTGCATGAACTGCCTTGAACTCAGATGTATTTGTGGAAAATGCAGGATATAAATAAATGTATGTCTATGATTTAACGAGGGAGTTGCCTCAGGTTGCAGCTTCTGGGCACCATAGAAGGTTGACAAATTGCCAGCTATTTGAGTCTTATATTTTTCACTGTGGAATCACTTGGATTTTTTGCTTCGGGTGCCAAAACACCATGAACTGGCTGAGCATTCAGTTCGTCTGAATCTATCCAGATATGGGTCTTTCTTTCATATTCATTTTGACAAGTCACAGATTGAAATTTGATCCACCGAACTGTAGTGCACAGATAGTTGGACTAGATGGGAGAGACCCAGATTTGGAGCCCTCCTCCATCATGAAGTTTCATGAGTGACTTGGGGCTAGTCACTCTGTCTCACCCTAACCTACCTCACCATGTTGTAAGGATGTAATAATACAAGTAAGGAAACCAAGTATGCTACTTTGCAGTCTTTGGAAAGAAGGGTTAAGATAAAAATGTAATAATACAATAAAAATCAGATCCATGACATTTACAACAGTGGCAAAAAAAAACCCCTGAAGTTTCTTTTTAACTGTTAACCATTCTGTTCTATTCATAGCTTTGTGCTACTCCACCAATGATGACAGCACAAAAAGAGATGAATCATTTTCTTTCAAACATTGAAAATGACATTTTAATGCTTCCAGATATCCCTATAATTGTCCCACAGTAGCTTTTGTGGCCTGGCTTTCCTTGCTAAAGTCTTGCCAGATTGTGATAATGATTTTATCCAGACAATTTTAAGCACAGGGTTGTTGTGCTTTTTTTAAAAGAAGAAGAAAACCAAACACAGGGCAATTTTGTCTGTATTTTATGTATAATTATTTAAAGATTCAGCAGATCAAATATATCACAATTTCCAGAAATGCAGGGTATTAAATTCCTTTCATTTTTAGCCAGGGCTTACTTGGAGCCAAAGCTTGGAAAGGTGTAGCCCTGGAATTTGTTCCCAAAGCCCTGGTTCAACACTGGAAGAAAGAGTGTCTATGACGATATGCAAGGTAGATTTCACTCATACCTTAGGGCAGGGGCAGGAAATCATTTGTCAGCCCAAGACCTACATTGCCTCATTGCCAGTAGTGGGCAGAGCCAGGGGCAAAAGAGGATCAAGAACAGATGTAACACTGTATAATGGGCTGAATTGCAGCCACACAAAAGTCAGACATTTCTATAAACACATCTCTTCTTCCACACAAGTAAGAAACGGTTCAAGGTGATATTACAGCCAGGGAAAATAAGTATTCATGGAGGACATGGATCAAGGCCAGTGAGGGGTACAGGCTGGGAAGAAGGGGTATGTGGCCTGGGCAGATTCCTGGGGGCCTTACAGAAAGATCAAGAAGGCCACATTTGGCCCTTGGGCCTGACATTCCCTATATCTGCCTAAGGGCATCTGTGAGACATTTCCACAACCACTTGGCTCATAACCACTGAGGCAAATGTACTTGAACATGGCAAGTGGCCTTACATTGCGTTGAACCATTGGTTTCCCCTTTCAAGAGCGTACCAGCAATGAGCAAAGCTGGAGCCAACACTGGGTGGAGTTGTCTGTTTTCTCCCTCCCTTGCCTGCCTGCCTCTCTTCAACCCCCACTTTCACTCTCTCTGCCACCCCCTTTCACCCTAATTTTATGTCCACTTCCTGCCACCTGCCTGAAAATGCATCAAGAGGCTCTACTGTTGCAGGTTTCGCATCCCTGATCTAGCCCGATAGCCAAGAACCTGATTGCCTCCCAACCCTGCCAGCCAGATGTCAAGGACCAGACATCACCATGACATCACCTTGAATTCAAGCTGCTCTGCAAAGGAATGCTGTTTCTTTGCCCATGGTGGTCTGATTTCAGACTCTACAGGCAAAGGAACTAGGAGCTGCAGTTGCCACTGGTTAACTAACTGTCAGTAGCCACAGGTCAAACTTTCCATAGTGATCTGCTCCACTTGGGATATCTGATCAGAACCCCTGGGTGAAACCACTCACAGGAAGCTTGCATTTGTTGCCAGATGCAATCCCACTTGCCAAGAACAATTGGGAGCATGCTCTATTATTGTTCCTTAGCAGCCATGTGTTTACCTGACCCTCACCTGATATTAGCATGGCTTGGGAAGCATAACTCTGTGGGCCCTCAGACCAGAGACTTCCCACTGCCAGTCATGACAGTGCTGTCCAAGGTTTCAGGCTAGAGTCTTTTCCAGGACAACTTGGAGATGCTGAGGATTGAGCCTGGGACCTTCTGCATGCAGTGCTAAGGCAAAGCACTGCATGCATCCACTGCCACACACAAGATTCAGTAATACATGCAATGACATCTTCTTTGCTGATCACTTGTAGCCGAGTAAGATGTTGTTGTTGTTTAGTCGTGTCCGACTCTTCGTGACCC